TACTCGTGATGTTTAGAAAATCCCAAACTATACCGATTATAGTTTGCATGTATAGTGAATAGCGTGTCCGGTAAACTATGCAAATTTTTGTGAAAACGTCCCTTATGCTCAACACAGTACAAAAGGGTTAAAGCATGAGATTTGCATAAGTTTTGAAACATTTATGATTAGCTTGTATCCCCCCTGAAAACATTGAAAATATGGAAAAATGTAGGGGTATGAACTCACAGTTGTTGCATGAAATCGTTGACTGAAAATGAAGATCCTCGAGTTGTTGCACGACACTTAACGAAATTCGGGACTTGATAGAATCGAAGAAGATGAGTTTTCAGCCAAAAACACCACTTAAAAGGTGTTTACGGTCGAAGAGGAGTTTACGGTTCTTGAAGGCTTGGACCGTAAACTCAAGAACAGAGTTTACGGTTTCTGAAGTTTGGACCGTAAACTCAAGAACAGAGTTTACGGTTCTTGAAGGTAGACCGTAAACTCAAGAAAAATGGTTCTGCTTGCTGATTTCGAAGAGATAATCGTTTCCAGGCGTTCCCAAGTGACTCCAAACGTGGTTTCTCGATGTTTTTCGAAGCTTGAAGGCGTTTTGAGTGTTTACGGTTAAGATTCTTAGAGAGAGAAGGAGAGAGTTTTTGGCCAGAAATGTTCTAATGAAGGTGGAGGCATCGTATTTATAGGGGTGTAGTTGGGGGTCCACTCTTCACTGACCGTAAACAGGTTTACGGTCGTAAACGAGTTTACGGTCGTAATCTCATTTAGACCGCAAATGCTTGGTTTTTCGAGATATTCGGGTTTCCGCGCGATTTTTGGTTCCAACTCGTAAATAGTTTAATTAAATATAACTAGATTATTTTCTAAACCAAAAAGTTTGACGGAAAAGTTAACAACTTCGAAATTTTATTAACGAAACTCGCGTAACGGAAACGGACAAAGTTTCGGGTTGTCACAATACATAATTCACAACGTATTAAAAATGAAGATTGTAAAATATCAGTAGCTTGAATAACATGAAGAAAAAATATGTGCAGGGTACTTGAAACCTATAAATAAACTCTACTGATTTCATGTATTTTAAATTCATACTTTTAATATAAAAAATTCAAAGAATTGAAGTTCATAGCCAAACCAATATTTATATGAGTTAGAATTTAAATTGAATATAATAGTACATTATGTCTACTATCTACAAATTCATTTTAAACGTAGATAGTTTAAATTCAAAGTGAAATTTACACATGCATATTTAAAGGTTCAAAACAAATTACTCAAAATTCTACAATTTTAAATGTTGTTATTCAAGATATTGTATAAAGTATGTGATTATGATATATATATATATATATATATATATATATATATATATATATATACTTATAAAGGAAGAATATTTTTCTTTCACCACATTAATTTGAAATTCACATGACTTTTCAATTTCTTTCTAATAATGATTATCTATATCTATATCATATCATATCATCATATCATACTATATTACAAAGGAAGCATTTTTCCTTTCACCACATTAATTTGAAACTCCCATGTATTTTTCCTTTCACCACATTCATTTGAAACTCCCATGACTTCTCAATTTCTTTCTAATAATAATTATAAGTTGGTTAATAAGGTTAAATAAATATCAAACCTAAACTGTAATCACATATAAACTAAATTTCAATATTACAAATATATATTTACTTCTACTTATTAAGTGATTTTTTTTAACTTTTAACATATTATACTTAATTTATTAGTTTTAATATATTGTTGGATGTAAACCATTATCATTTTAAAGATACAGTTTTGGAACAATTTGTATATAAAATACTTAAATTATTAATTTGAATATAACATTACATGGTCAACTTAAATATAAATTTTAGTTTAATTTAAACAACCCAAAGAATATTTCGTAAATAGTTAAAAGTGATTAATTGTAGTGTTTTTTTTAATAATGATTATAAGTTGGTTAATAAGGTTAAATAAATATCAAACGTAAAGTGTAATTATAAATATACTAAATTTCAATTTTAAAATAATATCTTACTTCTACTTATAAAGTTATGTCTTTAACTTTTAACATATTATATTTAATTTATTAGATTTAATATGTTGTTGTATGTAAACTATCATCAGTTTAAAGCTACAACTTTTGAACAGTTTGGACAAAATACTTAAATTGTTATTTTAAATATAACATTACAATGTCAACTTAAATATAAATTTCAGTTCCACTTAAAAACCAAAGAATGTTGTGTAAATAGTTAAAAGTGATAAATGCAAAAACTAAATTGTAATTTCAATTTAACTAAAATATTTCCTAAAGATGTTTTTATAGTCGTTAAAAATTTTCAAATAAGTAGCTAAAAATAACTTACAATAACAATAGTTAAAAATAAATCTATATAAATGATTATATTGTTATCTTTAAAATCAAAAAACAATGTTTGATATTTTAAATAATCATAATGATAAAAATTAAAACATTAAGCAAATAAATTTTAAAAAATTAATTAACAATAACAACAACTATAAATAACATTAAGTCATATATTATATTTATTTTTTTTCGTTTAAAATTTTTTTTAGACCACATTTTTTATCGAAAAAAAAAACCGAATATACCGTTATTCTCGATTTTTCGTCTTCTTTCCATAGAGATCAATGATTATATATAAAAAACGAATTTTTTTTTTCGAAAAAAATCCACTTCATTTTATTAGTTTTTTCAATATTTAAGTTTACTTTTATAAAAAAAAAACTAATTATACCAAAAACATTAATTTTTTGTACTCTATTAATAAACATCAACACCGGACTAAAAAAAAAAAAACTTCGATCAGTGTAGATTCACACTATGAATCTAAACTGTAAATATTTCAATTTTTAACATTCACAATGTGAAAAATTCACACTATTATGCACACTATGAATCTGAGAAGGTTCACAATGTGCATCTGAACTGAAATATCGTTTTTTTTAAACATGAATATGAATCTATGTTTAAAAAGTACCAAAAAGTATGAATTTTGATATATTTATTAATTTTTTTTTCTATAAAAAAATAGAATTTAACTTTTCAACAAAGAAAATGAAGTGGGTTTTTTTCGAAAAAAGATTTTCGTTTTTTATATATTATTATGGATCTCTATGGAAAGAGAACGAAAAATCGTGAATAACGGTATATTCAATTTTTTTTCGATAAAAAACATAGCCTAAAAAAATTTTAAATGAAAAAAAGGAAGTGAGTTTTGTTATAATCCGGTGCATGTGCTCCATTGTAAAAGTCTACAAACCTTCATTTTGCCGTTGATCGCTTTAAATTTCGACGTTTTGGATTGGTTACTTGGTTTCTTGATTAATAATGGTTCTTTATTGAACTTATATATATATATATA